AGAAGTGTTAATACATGATATTAGTTTGATTCATTTACAGCAATCTATTTCTCACTAGGTGCTTTCACACTGAACTCAAAGTGTTTCATCATTTAAATTCAAAAAGGAAAAGTAAATTTCATTGTTCGCAGTTGCTTCATGTAATAACATTGAAATCATTTCTACCTCATTTCTCAGTTGGAAATGAACACAAAAATATTGACATTTTTCTCGACTTTTATCATGATAAGTGCACCAAACCTTTGATACTTTGTTTTATTCATCAAAAGGAAAAAAATGTTTTCCAGAAAAAAAACTCTTTGATAATAAAGCACCAGAATTCATGTTCAAGAATGCAAAAGTGAAAAGTTGAAATTGATAAGCCAATAAATTGCAACATGAGAATGAACGGAAAGAGAAAAGGAATATTTACATTTTCTTCATTTTTCATTTGTAATCATGTTTTACCATCAATACAAAGTTCTGGTTGATAAAGGTGAGCACATTGTGCCTCATGAAGACTAACAAATAACTGTAAATGCATGATGAGATTGAATGAAAAAGAGAAAAAACGAAGCATCAGTTTCATGGTAAATCTCATGGAAAAGAAGCATATACTTTAGATGTTGTTTTATCCCATTCTGATATCATGAAAGAGAAAAGTATCAAAGTTCCAATAGGATATGATTTAGATGCGTCACGTGCCGAATCAGAATAATTCAAGATGGATTTGGATGAATCTTTTTTTCTTCATTCTCAGTGTGACTTTATCTGCCCATTGATTGTCATGAGTTTAATATCATGAAACATTGGAAAATGTTGAAGGCAAACGTCGAATGAGAAAAGTCGATTTTTATAAATCAGTTTTTTCTCTTTTCTCAACTATTCAGAGAAAAGAAACTTTTTTCTTCTTCTTTTGACAGCTTTTCGTTTACTTTTCAACCAACTCGACATAAGTCACTTTTTGCTTTTGTTAGTGAATTATTCAGTATTTATTTTGTATTCATTTTCATTACAATCTTTCAACTCATCAAAAATTGAAACATAAATGGATTGAATAGTAACCACAGGATAGTATCATGTAAATGATAGGCAAAACTTGCAAAGATTATCAGCTTATGTGGGTCAATAATCTGGATTCATAAATAGAAGAAAGAAATTTGAGATTTCCCGGAAACTCTCAAGTCTGAGAAAACTTGAGGTCAAAGGAAAGTAAACTGTTGAATGAAAACAAAGATTCAAATTACAAGCAATTTTAATGAAATCAATTGATTGGAAAATGCCTCAAAATGAAAACTCGAAAAACAATATTCACTATTGAGTTCATAAAGAGTTTAAGAGAATCATATTGATTGAAAGGAGAATTTTGATTTTCGACAAAATTCATGTTAACAAACTATCTTTTAGTTTACTTTTATTGCTCAGTTGCTTATCGTGATGGAATAATGGAATGAATTGAATTTTTTCATTGATAAATATTGAATGGACCATTGAGAATGGCTGTAAAAAGCAACAGTCGAGTGATGATACAAAGGGATAAAAATGAATTCTCGAGTTTCCATTTCATCCAACACTTTCAACCTTTTGGCTTGCTATTTTTACTCATGACTATCATCATCGTCTTATCACTTTATCCTTAAATTGAACGCAAGATAGACGAATGATCATTAGGAATGATCATTTTTGTTACACTTTTAAATGAAGATTGATCATCATGCAACCATTTCGAAAACCTTTATAACCTTTTCCTCGACTCATGATGAAGCTTAACCACGTTTTTACTGGCAACAATTGATGGTTCAAAAATTTTGCCCAATTACAATTATTACCATAATTATGATAGGTTTTTGGTGAGAAGAAACAAAAATTGTTCATTAATCAAGAAGAAAAAGCGATTTAACCAACTTTACAATCAACTTTAAGATTATCGATTGAAAAGGAATGAGAGGAAAAAAAAGAGATTTGTAATGAAATGGTAAAAAGTTGAATGTAATTTAGCTCATTATTGTTGTTCGCATTTGCTGTTGCATTTTTATTAACATGAGTCTTGTGGGTTATTTTGTGGGGTAAACAGACTCACAGATTACTGTATGAGCAAGTCTGTCCATGAGCAAGGAAAAACAGAAAACATGAAAATAGTAAATAAAAGCATTTCTCTTTTGGCTCATTACCTTTCAAATACACTTGAACAATCTCTTTATAACATTACATGTTGAACCAAAATCGCAAATTCATACTGAGCAATGAAATCTTATTCAAGAGCAGCGAGCAACACAAAAAGTGGTTCAAACAAAAATCTAATTACAATGAATGGAGAGAGAGAGTGAAAAAAAAGGTTAAAGAAAATGTAAGTTGAGTAAAAAAAAGTTGCACAAAAACAATTCTCGAAACCAATTGAACAATTCAATTAAAGTGAAACTATTCACCTTTAATCACCAAACCATTGGGATAATTATAATGAGCCAACATGTTGAAACAAATGAAAACATTGAACAACTAATTTGATTGGAAAAGATGAACATCTCAATTGGCAGTTAATGTTTCGAGACACTTCGTCTAAGGCCGAGACAACAATCATTTTCATACTTAACAAGCTAACCAGCTAAGTGACTCAAGTAGCATCAAAGGACTGTGCAAGTGACTTGATCAGAGTAAAGTGAAGGTTTGATTTTTAAGAGTTTTTTTGTTTCGAGTTTTGAATGTTTTTTGTAAAGTGAAAAATTGGATAAATGTTGATGTAATTAGAAGTATATTTTGTTTCGTTTGATAAATTGTTTATCAGTGCTTCTGCCTCTCATCATTTCATCTGTTTACCATGAAAAAGAAATGAATTTTTTTCCATTTGACATCGTTTAAGGGAAGATGATAACCACTGATGTTCACTCAAAAATAGACGAATCTCTTTTTCTTCTCTTCTTTTTTTCTTCTTCTTGTTCATCTGTTCAATTGATGGAAACCATGTGAATCATTTCATCAACCATGCCAAATTTATTCTCTACTTTGATTGAATATTGGAAAATTTAGAACACAAGAAACATGGAGAATGCATGATGAAGAGTAGAGATTATTCAATCTGGAAAGATGAATGGAAAATGAAAATTTTTCCCTTTATTCCTCGAGAATTAAACTGGGAGTAAAATTGTGAGTTGAACTTTTAAATCTTATCGTTCAAAGTATTTTCTTCATTGGAATTTGTGTTCAACAAATATCATGAGCAACTCATACAAACTCTGACTTGGAATTTTAAACAGTTTAAAGTTAATTTATCAAAAGAATAGAGTAAACAAGAATTTGAAATGAAAAACGTTGAAGAGGCAACTGTAAATATTGAAACAATGAGCCAGAATTGATCATTATTTATTCAAATCAATGATTAACTTGAACAGTTCAACTCGTTGCATCGTTAGTTCAATATCAATAAGTTTCAATATTAGATTATAAAGAGAGTTCATTTGAAGAAGAAGAAGAAGAAAACAAATTGTTCTTACATTTGATAATTAAATTGAGAATGAAATTGAATCAACTCAATTACATGAATAATTGTGTTGATGTTGATTAAATTTGCGATCTACAATTGAAAACAAGTAAACATTTACTTTGAAATAATTATCCAACAATGAGATTCGATAGACTTTAATGAGGCAAAATTAAATCGAATCAAATTAATTGCCTTTCATTATTGCAAGAGTCAGGTAAAAAGTGATCAAGTTAACAGTGCAATTAAAAGTTGGCCAAAAATTTAAAGTAAAATGTTGAGAGCAATAAAGATGCTCTGCCATTGTAAATTGCCTCGAGTTTTGACTGCACTTTTTTTTAATGGGCAAAGTTAATGTGAGCTGGCAATTTGGGTAAATTATGTTTTCCACTGTTAATTATCCTTGAAGGTGAAAGTTTAACAGTTTAACGGCTGTCAACAATGTAAACAAATTAAACTGTTAACAATGTTTGCTTGTTTGCTTCACACTGTAACTAGGCTTTGAACAGATGATGAAGCGACCCAATCAGTTGCTCTTGTTGGCATCAAGTTTACTCAGCCTTTAGCTTCTGTCATGTTCAACACATCAACCGATCCACTCACCATTAGTCACTTTGGCTGAGGATAAACAGTACTGGTAACAGTCGGTACAATGTTAAACATTTGCGTTTGTTGTCAACCTGAATCATCGAGTAAACCTTTTTCTAGTTTCACTTTCTGAAGTTTACCAGGATAGTCTGGGTCAACAAGTTGTCCCACCATGTCAACATATTGCATATGATTTTAGGTTCAATTAAAAAAATGTTTAGATTTTAGGGAAAAGAAATGCTCTTTGGTGGCTTTTAATGCAAGTCTTTAGATGTTGATGAGGAATCATGAGAAGAGAGGATAAATTTTTAATGAACTGACGTTAAGAATAAACTTGATGTTTCAAGTGGTCAACAGATTTTCAGATAACAATGGAATTTTGTTTTACTAATGATAACCATCATGATGATGTTGAGGTATGCATGGTTAATGTAGACAGAAAAATTTCATTTTTCACTTTTAATCGTTTTCCCTCAGATCTCAATCTTGCCAGAGAAGTTGGCAAAAGGTTGTTTTGAGGAACCAGAAAAACAATTAGAAAAGTCAATGATTTAGTGTTTTCTTGTTGACACATTTTCTGGTAAATATTGTGGTTAATATCAGTAAATTGATTTCACTTTTCACAGTTCAACTCAGGTGATACAAATAAATTGGTTGGTAAAAGGTAAACACGAAACAAAGAGACCATTAATTTGCATAACTATGGAATCAAGGTAGAGTTTGATTGATGGTTTTCCGTTGAATAGTTAACTGATAATCAACTTGGTTAAATAGGTTAAATGTAATAATGGTGTCAACATATGAAAATATTCAACAATTTTCACTGACTTTTATTAATGAACATACATGAATACACAAATGTGGTTACATTGAATCTTGATCCAATCTCGACCCTTTTGATTACATGTGGATTAACATTGAAATTGACTGAAATTGGTTGAAAATTACATCAACTTACCGTTATTAAATGTCATATGTAAGTGAATGTTGATTTGAAATGCAAATGGAATCGTGTGTTGAGTAGAAAATGTTTTTATTTTTTGATGATTTAAACAATCAATTGATTATCCAATGGACAATAAAAGTTGATTTAATGTTCATCATGATTAAAAATGTACAAAAAGTAATGTTCGTTTTCACTGGTTTCGTCCAACATGACGAAATTTTTCTGTACAAATGACGTTAGTTTGGTTAAAAACAATCAGTACAATGATGGTTATGATATTGATGATAATGATGTCCAACTAATGATGATAACAAAGTGAAAACGAAAAGTTTATCCTGAAAACTGAGCAATAAAGTTTTAGAGGAACTCATGGAGTCATGTTGCTAAACCAATTTGAACTCAACTACTGAGAACCTATCAAAAGCAGTTGCGTCAACAAAAATTACATTGAGCTTCACATCACCATCTAGTGAAGTGAATATCAACCAAGACCAAATTTAGTTTCGCTTCAATTTTATCTTCAATTTACAGATCTTCTGAAAATGGAGCAAAAAAACGTTCCATAAATCAAATGGAATCGAATCTGAGAATGAATTATGAATTTAGTTTGTGTCGCTAATCATCATGACCCAATGTTGATCTATTTTATTTCGACTTCAAACTAAGTTGAACCTTTGTTACATTCACAATCGAGACTTTGAGCTTGATGTTGATGTCGATGATACATTTGGTAAAACTTTTGTAGTTGAATCAAACGTGAAAGACGGAGTACTCAGAGTAAAAGATCGATATCTTTCAGAGACAAATTTTCTGACTCTCTTCGCCTTTTTAGATGCAAAAAACTTATTCAAACGCTGCTTTTTGTGGACGAAACAAGCTATTGCTATTACTGAATTGAAAAGTAAAGTCAAAATCAATATCAGGAGTATGATTAATGTATGATCTTCATTGAGCAATTCGGGGACAAAAATATCAACCATATCAGTGGAAACAGCACTAATCGTTGCAGTATCTGCAAACAAATCCATATCACTGATTAGACTAACATCGACCGGGAATTTGCCCGACTTGAGTATATTCAAAGAGCAATAAATGTACAATTCATCCATTGTGATGTTGGTGCAATTATTATAACCAGCTGTGATAACTAGAGACGCATTTGAATCTTTCGGCAGTTCTTCATCTAATTCTATTGTTAGAGTTGTAGGTGCTGTTAAGTTGAATGTTAAAGGTGAAATTGAACTGATTTTAAAACATTTGTTGACTGTTAGTTCAGTATTTTTTTTAGTTTGATTATCCCGCATACAATCTGAGTTGGACCAAATGCAATCATAATAGAGACCATACATGATACATTTGGTGCAACTGATGAGATTTCTACATGGATCAACAAACGGGTGGTACAAGACTTTATTTGTGTCTTTAGTGACATAAAATAGACTTGAAGTTTTGTAATTCAAATAGGCATGCAAATGTATTCCATCTGCCAAGGTTTGCTTATCAATTGTGTCGTCGTCACATTTGTCATAACGACAGACTGTGAATATAGCATTATACATTGAAGTGAAAAATTTATATCTCTCATAAAAAGGATATGGAATAGCAAAGGTCTCAATATTTACAATATGTTCTTCCAAGGTATAAGGAAAAGTGTTATCACCCGTAACTTGTATATCGAAAGAAGTTGAAGGAACAATATTTTCCTTGGTTGAACAACTTTCATAAGAAGTCTTTGTACATTTACCAACTTCTGATCTTAAATGGTGCCGTAATAAAGTGACATCATTGGATTCGTATTCACCCGAGGCACATCTCCTTGCAATCATGTCAAACTTGAGTATAAAATTTTCAGCACGACCAGTTTGATGTATGATGTCTTCACCAGGCTTTCCCTTTGTTATCATCATGCGTTGACGGGGGCCAATCAAACGAGAATATGCGAAATCGAAAACAATATTCATTTCGAGACCTGTGTAATCAGTGAAAGCGTAATGAACTTCAATTGCACTTGATATTAGTTCACTTCCTTTATTAAGACATAATCGTATTATCGATGCTTCTACAATATCCTTTTTTGCTTTTTCTTCCAAAATAACGCGATTCATCAAAAGGTACAATTTATTTTCATGATGAAAATAATCTGTCATTTTCCATTTTTTAATGAACTTCCAATCATCATCTTTAAGCATAGGTAAGTATCGAATCACAGAAACCTTTTCATTTTGATCATCGAAATGCAACAATTCAATATAATTCCATTTAGGAACTGGTTCAGTTAAATTTGGATTTAATATTGTTGGAACGTGGAGAGCTTCATTATCACCGAAAGCTATTATTGGACTATTTAGTTTACCAGTAAATTCCATATCTTTGATTTTCTCTTGATTAATCAGAATATATGGTTTATTGTTATGGACGAACATTAATCGATTTCTTTTTAGATTGACTACTTTCCAATTGAAGATGTCGGACACATTAACCACACTAAAAGGAATGTCAACAGTTATTGTCTCACCAGCCAAATAAATACCATAAGTTGTTGGATATTGAGGGTTTATCAAGAAAACATTGTTTAGTGTTTTGTGATAGGCGCGTGAATTGTGTTTCGGTGTACGGAAGGAATGCACAATCTGAATCAAAAGACAAAGTTTAAAGATCCTTGAAATAACCATTGAATTTTATGGTAATAAGTCGAAAAAGCTGGCAATATCGAAGGATATTGATAAAAATTGCCTGTTGTCAGACTTGGAGAGGAATATGAGTGCACGTAAGTATCCATAATAAACTAAATTAGCAAATAGGAATTATATAACGAAGTTGTGTGTAGGATCAAAGAGCATGCGCATCGTCCGACCATGTCAACATATTGCATTTGATTTTTAAGTTCAATTAATGCATAGTTAATGTAGACAGAAAAATTTCAATTTTCACTTTTAATCGTTTTCCCTCAGATCTCACTCTTGCAACAGGTTGTTTTGAGGAACCAGAAAAACAATTAGAAAAGTCAATGATTTAGTGTTTTCTTTTTAACACATTTTCTGGTAAATATTGTGGTTAACATTAGTAAATTAATTTCACCTTTCACAATTTTTATGGACAATAAAAGTTGATCTAATGTTCATCATGATTGTACAAAAGAAATGTTTGTTTTCACTGGTTTCGTCCAACATGACGATTTTTTTCTGTACAAATGACGTTTGTTTGGTTTAAAACAATCAGCACAATGATGGTTATGATATTGATGATAATGATGTCCAACTAATGATGAAAACAAAGTGAAAACGAAAAGTTTATCCTGAAAACTAAGCAATAAAGTGTTAGAGAAACTCATGGAGTCATGTTGTTCAACCAATTAAGCTCAACTACTGAGAACCTATCAAAAGCAGTTGCGTCAACAAAAATTACATTGAGCTTCACTTCACCATCTAGTGAAGTGAATATCAACCAAGACCAAGTTTAGAGTAGCGGTCAAAAAAACTGACAGTCTTACGTTCAAATTGAGATTTCGGATCAGGTGATGAATCGGAACCGAAAATTTTTTTTTTGCATTTTACAGACCAGACCATAGGGAATCAATAGACAAATAAATTAAGATGCACAATTTTTATAATTGGCCATTTAATCAATTTTAATTTCAATCATCATTTTTAAGAAAATTACATAGAAATATAATATCATTAGATTTTATAACTTTCCTCATAAATTCAGCCAAACAGAATTCATGAGTGTCTTGACGTTGATAGAGTTCATACAAAATATCAATTTTAATGAATCATTGTTCAGCAAACATCATAAAACTTATTGATTGAGTTTCAAATTATTTGATTAATCGCTGACTGAGTTACGATCAATTGGTTGACTGTCTTTTTTGAGTTTTTTTGAACCCTGAAAGAATCGGTGGACGGAGTGTTGAAGCTGAAAGTGTTTATTAGTACACCGGGATGGGTTTACAATATGGGGTTGATTTAAAGCACAATACAATATTTTAATGTTACGCAGACCGTTACTATGTCAAGAGGTACAATAATAGTTAAACTCATGGAGAAGGTAACAATATGTAAGGTAAGGTGACCACCGGAGCCCGGCTTGGACTCTATCGATGGTTTTGGAGTGTAAAGAAAGGAAAACTAGGAACCTTATAATTGACTAGCGAGGTTTCAATCCTTTTATACTAATTTTGAACTACCGCTCACTCGAATCAAACTGGCTCACTTTATAACTAAAAATGACCAAAAGCAATAAATCATATTAGTGATGACAACTTATTTTGATAAATTTGTCTTAAAGAAAAGGTGTCAAAAAGATTGATAGGTGCAAAATTTAAGTTTTAATTGAAATCAATAAATTGATTTATTAATGCAATAAAAATAGAGTAAAAAATTTCGACAACTTGCATGTTTTCGTGAAAATTGGTCTTTCGACCTCAATTAACTCGTGATCCGAAAGTTTCCGAAACGGGAGACGTTAACACTATACATAATTTTTTGTGCTCTATCGAATGCATATGGTCTCGTCCCGAAATTATTGAGACACCTGGGACACCTCCCTCGTTAGGAAACCCATTATTGAAGAATAGTGCTCTTAGATTCTGTGTAAGTAAAACAAAGTGGGTGACTCGTCGCATGATTAACCAAGCTGGCGGTCGATCTGGTGCTAGATTATAAAGATATGGTTAATCGAGGAGTGCTTCATTAGGTTTATAAGTGGGCTTCATTCTAAAAAAAATGAGAAATAAAATCAGGTTAGGCGTGAATATTTTCACAGGGGTCAGTATTTTCTGAATCCCAAAATTCTTGGAACATGCGATAAGGGAAAATAGGTAGGTTTGCGGTACGGAGCGCCATGTAATCTAGAATAGATTCGTATAAACGTTTGCATTTTCATAAATATCTTCTTGCTAATCGTCTACTGCCTTGCTCTGCAGCCCTGTAACGTACAGCGTGCTCTCGGATTAAGCAAAGTATTAACATGGCTGCAGAGCAAGGCAAACCCTACTGTAGTTTCGATCGTATTGCATCTTCACAGATCTTCTGAAAACGGAGCAGAAAAATGTTTGAAATCGAATGCAATCGAATCTGAAAATGAATAAAAAAATTGCCAAGTGTCACTAATCACAATAGTAGT